TGTTACTAGAGTATCATTGCTTAATTTGAAATTATATTTTAAAAACTGATCTGGGGAAGGATTTTTGCAATATTTCCTTCCACCATGGAAAGTACTTGACAGTGGAAGGAAGGAATATAAACACCCACTTCAGGCAATTCTGACTAGATTTCTTGTAAAATCGTTTGTTAACCTTTTCCTTCTTTCAAGTGTCTTTTTTGCTTGCACAACCTCCTCTCTTACTTTCCATGAGCCTAGTTTTTCTACTGTTTGTGTCCTTTGGGCCATTTTCATCTCCCTCTTGCCAGGGAAACTAAACTGGGAATATTAAATACACAAAAAATTAGTTTTATGGGTTTTTTTAAATGGAAAAGAGAGTTTAAAAAGTGTCCCGTGAGGGGCTGCTGGAATCAGGAGGTCAGCTGGGAGAGAAAGGTGGCCAGTTTTAAACTGCCCCTCCTCCCCCTCTGCTTTTCTTTTCCCTCCTGCTCTCCTTTCCCCTAACACACTTCCTAACTAGAGTTCTTACATCAAGACCTTGAACTAAAGCATCTAAATGCAGCTCCTAGTTTAACTCCCTACTCAAGGACACATTTCAAAGCTGTCCAGCTGCTTCTTCAGCATTGCTGAATGCTGTGACTAGGCTGGCAGGGTGTCCGGAGTTCGGGCTTGCAGTTAGACTACTTACCTGCTAGCTTACCTGCAGGCAGTCTTAGGAGCACAGCTGGACCCCAACTGACTTCTCCTGATTGGACAAATTGTGCAACTGGCTGAGGGGATCAACACAGACCTGCTCTTAAGACCAGCGGCGGGATGCTGGCTATTCAAAGCATTTGCCCACGGCTGTGATAACCCTTGTGCCTGCTTGTTCCCAGGCATGCCCCTGCCTTGCCTCACTCCAGGTAATTCAGTTCCGACCCACGGCTCTGATTTGTGACCTCAGCTCTGACCCTTGGCTCCAGCATCTGGCCCCCGGGGACCTATTCCAGGCTACCAACCCCTCCTCCAACCACGAGGCAAGACCATCCACGCCCTGATCCCTGACACAGGGTAACCAGCAGTTTTCCTTTGAAGTTCTACTGCAAGAGAAGCACTAACAGCAGGGCTTAAAGGGATGATGCTGCTTTCTCTCCCAGCCCAGCCAAAGTATGCAGCAAAACTGGAGAAACAGCTGAGCAGCCTTGAAACAAGTCTGCAAGTTGGAAGCTCAACTAGGAGCTATATAAATGGGCTAATTCTGACGCTGCCTCAGCTATTGTATACGGTCTCCTCGCAATACAACTGGAGTTCGGGAATTGGAGCAGACATGCAAAGCACAGAAAGGCCACGCACACCCTGGCCAGTGATGAGCTCAGCTCTAGGGTGGTTCCCTGTACACTGGTATGAAGAGAGACAGATGGGGCTTTGTGAATTCTCATGTTCTCCCCACACGCAAGTTATAAATGCAATGACTGTTTCATCCTTAAGCCTCTGATTGCACAATGCAACCCCTCTGCAGCCTTGGGATATTAAACACACACACACACACACACGTACATATATGTGCATATGTGTGGACATGCCTGTTTCGCTCTTCCCCCTGCCCATCTCCCTATTGCCCAGCTTAACCACTCAGGCAGGACACTGGGCTCAAATTTTCTTCAGTTTCTTCACAAGAACCCAAGATGAGGAATTTAAGAGAGGAAGGCTAGAGAGATAGACAGAAGGGAGTTTGGGCTGCAAACTAAGAAAGAGAATATAGCTATACATGTTCTTGCAGCTACATTTTTCAGCTACTAGATTTTTCTGTTTTAGAGTTCTAGGCAGTGTGTAATCCCTGGTAAACAAGTGAGGCAAAGCTGCATCTCAAGCATGGCAGTTTGTTTGTTCTGTTTTTTCCCTTAATAAATAAAGAGAAAGACGGATTCTAAAATTCCATATATCAGGGCATTGACTGCCTTTGCAACTGAAGCCTGTAATATTTTGCCCATTATGAAAATGGGTTTAAAAAACATTGTAGGGGAAAGATATTGAAACATTTCCCCTTATTTCTTTTATTTAACCCATTTACCATTGTGGGGGTAAGGATATATACAGAAAAGATACATTGAAGAAAAAATGGAGAGACTACTATTTGGCTTATTTGATTCCAAAGATTTCCTCTGTCCTTCAGATGAGACATTAATGGCCTGATCCAATGCCCACTGATGTCAAGGGGAGTCTCTCTCATGAATTGAAAGGACTTTGGAAGTCTTTTCGGCTTATGTCAGATGGTTGTCCAGCTGAAAGTTAAAGAATCTGTAACACTTTCAAAATAAGCAGGAGTATTTAATTCATTGTTTAATAAAGACTTTGAGATAGCTCAAGAACGTGCTCAACGAATTAGTATTGAGAGAGTAGCAAGGAGAGAGAATCTGCAGGGAATGAAGTTACTGCAGCCCAACTACTTGTAAGAGATGCATGAAATGATAACTATAGTTCTAGAAGGAAATGCTGCGGCTTATTTTCTAGCTGAAGAATGTTTCTCTAAGAGATTGCAGCACTGGGGGGGGGGGGGGGGGGGGTGAGATGCCAAATTTCACTCAACATTTACTACCAATGTGTTTCATATTGTTTTATGAGTCATCAAAATTGCCTGAAATTTCAAAATATTCTCACAGAGTAGTTTGTGAAATCCACTTCTAGCTCAAAATGTCAAGATTTCAAAATGCCACACATTTGAAATTTGCCAAAGAACTACGACAACCATCGCGTTGTTAATTTTGGAGAGAAAACAGAAAGGAGAGAGATACAGACATAAACATACACAATGGCAGGCGGTGACAGAAAATGCTAAGAATGTATGACCTTTGGATCCACCTCCAGAAGTGGTATGGGCATCCATACTAAATCATACACCCCGTTGTCTGTCAACCCCATTGGAGAGCATAATGTAAGCCAGCTTCCACACAGGGAAAGTAAATACAAAAGCATTTTTCAAAGCAATATTAACCACTTTAACAAAAATTACATATAGACCTGGTGATGTGGGAACCATAAACATTTCAGAATCTGGATACTTACCCAAAGTACCTAAAACTATGGATGGTAGCAGCCCTCTGCTACATACAAACCTTCCCACCTTTACTAAGAGCAGTGGTTCTCAAAGTGTGAGGCACACCCCCTTAGGGGGCACAGAGGAACATTCGGGGGGCGGGGCATATGGTGGGGCTGGGGCTTCCACCCCCACTCCACCCTCAGGCCAGCTCCACCTCCAACCCATTCATCCCCCAGTCCTGCTTCGCCTCCAGGTCCAGCTCCACCCTCACTCCCGGTCTGTCCCCAGACCAGCTCCACCTCTAGCCCCAGCTCCTCCCCCATCCCCACTTCCGCCCCCAGCTCTGCCTTCAACCCAAGCTCCACTGCTGAGGAAGTCTCAGCTATGCAGTAATGGGGGCGGGGGAAAAAGTGGACAGATTCTGCTACTGTTGGGGGGGGTGTGACAGGAAAAGTTTGAGCCCCACACCCCAGTGCTTTGGAGGCCCACTCTCCTCTCTGGTGTCTTCATAAGGCCACCAGGCAGGACCACTACACCCCTAAAACCCTGAAGGGTCTTTGGGATGTGAAGTAGGCCCTCCTCCCCCACCCCACACTTATGCAACAAGTGTGACAGAGCCAGCAGCACCAACAAAAAATGGCTCCTGGTAGTTGGCTGGTAGGTTGTCTAAATTAAACATAAATCCTTAACATGGTTGCTACATACTTTTCTCTGTACACACAGGCAACTTATTTGGACCACAACCATGTATCACAACAATGCTTAAAACATACGTACTGTTGTAGCATGCACAGAGCATAGTTTCAATAAGGATCACTTTATATTTGTTATATGAAAATACCAAAAGCACAATAAAGGAAGATTTCATCCTTTAAAAAGCTATTATGATCCACACAGACATTGAGCTACAATTATGTACGGTAGATGGTAATTTTAGTGGAAACAAGGGACAATTAATCAAATGACCATTATACTACTGTGATCACCACTGTACCTCATACATTTAAATAATCAGATTCTTTCCTTTTTTTAAAAATCTTTTATTTTTACTCTTTTAAAAACACCTTTTGAATTTTCCATGGGAAAATCTTTACTTTTTTTCATGAGCTCTTCTATTTCACTCTCTTCCCCTCCCCCCCTTTTAAAAAGCCAAATGCTGGAGTAAAATTCTCAGCATAGTAAGTGGGGATTTAAAAATTTCCACGGCAGCAGAACAATGGGAACAGTGTCAAAGCACAAAACAAGTTCAACAAATATTACCTGGGTGGTCTGTACAAGTAAGACATACTTTGCATGTCTGATTGGCTTCTGTTTTATGCTAAAATAATTTGGCTGACTTCCTAGAAGGTGATTGAATCGAAATGTCAGAAGATCATTCTCCCCCCCCCCGCCTTTTCATTAAGCCCAAATAATACAAATATCCATCTTTTGATGCATACTGTGTGATACTTAATATCTGACTTTCTATAAACAAAAATAAAATCAAGTTAGGTCTTAAAACTACTCGATAAAAATGACAGCTGAAAGTTTTTATACTGCATTTATTTTTAAAAAGCATTATGGACAAAATATTCAGCTGCTATAAATCAATATAGCATTGATTAGTCAATGAATCTATACTGATTTACACTAGCTGAGGCTTTGTCCCTGACAGTTTAAAATATTTCAGTCAAGGGTTTTTTGGGGGTTGGGGGAGGGCACTATTTCTTATCTTCAAAGCAAGCAAGCAAAGTGTGTTCTACCACATTAAAACAATATTTATACATTAATTTTGGCTCACCATCTATTTACACTGTTCCCATTGTTCTGTTGTGGGAGTGTTTAAATTACAATTGTATTTTCATTTTTAAAAAAAGAAAAAAAATGCAACATCAATAAAATTAACTCGGCCACTAATTTTCCTTTATCTACCAAGGAGAAAAGCTTCAATGAAATATTTCACCCTACCTTCAACACAAGTTTACTGTTACTATATTCTGCTTGAAAGTGTCCTTTTAACTCTTACCTTCACATTGTCTGGATGAAGTCCTCCAGGATGTTTGTCCATGTACTGACATAAATCAGTGTGCTGGAAAAAGTCAAAGGGGAAAAACTGTATTAATATCCCCATGACTACAACAGATTAATATTCTTCCACTTCAAAGTCACTGTTTTCTCTGGACAGAGCAAATGGAAGTAGAACACATATTTTCTCAGTTATACCATGTCTTTACCTCCAGGCTCCATTCTTATTAAGCACCTCTATAACTTGACTCATAAGACTATTTATAAGAACTAAACTGTATCTAGTTTCCTTCTCATCTCTCCTGTACATGGTTAATTTATTAATTTACATCTCAATCTAGTATACACAATAGGTCATCTCTTAACTTATAAGACTCCATATTACCATCAATGCCTTATAGGTAACATCATGGGGTGGGGGAAATCATATAAGAAAAACATCACAAATCCTGCTCACGCTATTTATATAAAACACATTTGGAATCAATGTTTCATGTGAGTAAGTCAAGCAGAATTCTGGCCCAGGATTATTTATAAAAATTAAAATAGCTGTAGAACAGATTGCTGAATATTGTTCGGTACAAAAAAAAAAGATATGATGAAACATGGCAACACGCATGTGTGTACATATGTGTGGACGATTATTAGAGACGTCAGAAGCAGATTCATAGTGAAGATGTGTTGAGGTTTACACTTACAACAGAATTAAAATCAGTTTCTCACTTTAACGATTTAACATAGTCTCTGAATTTACCACAATAACTCTCCAGAAGACAACTGAATTCTCCATATAAATTCTTAGGAAACATTTGAAAACACTCTCTTTTTTAAATTTCCCCCCATTTTTTCCCTTCACATTTCTTTTGGCTCTGGCCAGTACACAGCCTTTATCAACTAAGGTGGCATTTTGATTCTCTGCTCCGTATCCACAATGTAACTTCTGAAATTACAGTCAGGACTGAAAGAAAAAGTATCAGTTGGCATAACCGCCAACACACTGGAATTGATCTTTCCATTCGGGAACTTGGACTGCATCTGGGGGGAAAAAAATCACCTAGCATTCCTGCACAAGATAGTTGTCAATGAATGCATTGCATGCAGGGACAGGCCAGTTGGGTCTAAGCAGTGATCCAGGTGAGAGTCTTGGATATAAGTTTTCTTCCCCAAGCCCGGATAGTTTCTTGGGTCTTATTTTACTACCCATACTACACTAGGAACCTTTCTTATATGTTCATTCAGAAGCCTACTATATACCTACCCACTAACATTTCCTCCAGATAGTATTCAAATTAATATAAGTAATAGCCACTCCATACTTTGTTGCCTTCTTGCTTCCACATCTAAGCTATCCTTTATTCTCACAACCCTTCTCCAGTGTGCCAATATTAGAAAATTAATGTGGGACTAAATAAAATTTGCTGAAAGTATTTTGAAATTGGTAAAAATGTAAATATATCATTTAAAACATTATTTCTTTAATGCATGCTAAAAGATGCATAAATTCAGTTGGCTGGGCATTAGCATGTTTCTTTAAGAAACTATGCTGCGGCCTAAAGACAGCAAATATTGTGTGTGTAGTGGAAATTTCTAGGTCCTATAATGTTGTGTGTGTATATCACAGGGAAAAGGAAGGGGAACCTATTCAAATGGGCATGAAGATATAAGCAATTTCCTCCCAAACACAGGCTACGAAGAGTAATGTTTATTGGTTTAATTTATACTGTAGTTAACATATCACTGAAGTAGTCTAACAAAGAAAATAAAAGGTTAGCTCATGCATTTACTTCCCCCATCAGTAGGGATGCCAATTTTGGTTGGACGTATTCCTGGAGGTTTCATCACATGACTTAGTTGTTAATTAAAAATTAATGTTTAATTCCTGGAGACTGCACGACAATCCTGCAGGGTTGGCAACCCAACCCGTCAGTGTTAGTGAGAGTTAGTTAAATTGTATTTTGCACAGAGGTTTATACTTGAAATGTGATCCTTTTACTTTCATTTTTTCTAGCTCTAAAATCCACTTCAGTATTGGCTCCCCCATCTTTCCCTCCAAATCTTCTGGGACCATAGCAAGAACTAGCCAATCACTCTTAACAATTCATTACTACATTGAACACTCAAGATTCTGTTTCATAGATTGATGATTATGCTTCCTTGATGTTGATATAAAGTCACCTTGGTCACCTTTTAGGTGCTGAGTGATTGATATTGCTTGAGCACTAACTCTAGCACAAACATATAATGCCTTTTGGCAAAACATCTGAAACATCATTCCTGCAATGAGGTAAATGTTTCTTTTCCAGTTGGTGTGGAATAAGTTTGTTCCTCTCAATCTCTCTCCTATTATAGCAGAAGAACGGCAACCTCCATGGAATAAAATTTTATCTTGTTTAACTTTAATGTGAATTTTTGAATAAAGACAATTTCCAGTGTTTTTGATAGAAGTCTTAGTCAAATTTTTTGACAAAAACCTCACTGAAATTTCCTTTTTAAAAACGCATGATGAGAGACGAGCATTGCCCTATACCATGTATATTAAAGACATACATGCATTTGACAGCCCTGTCACACCTGCCCACATCACTGTGGATTCTCATACCTAACAGGGCTGCAGTTCAGGCAACCTGGATTTCCCCTGCAGTTCAGCCTTCTAGCCACTGAGGCTAGCATGGCACAGGATGAGCAGAGAGCCTTATTGACTCCTCCATCCCTCCCTGCTCTCCACATCTGGCTTGCAGTCAGCCAACAGAGGAGAAAGTGTAAGAGATGTAGGATGTAGGCCATCTAGCCTAATGATCACAGTGGGGCTGGTGTTATCAAGTAAAGGACGATCACAAAGAGGTAGTCAGCACACAGGGATCAGAGTAATTGCTAGAGCCAGGATCAATAGGCAAGAGCCAGGGTCAGAGTCAGGCCGGGGTCAGAGACTGGAGATCAGAGAGAGGTAGTTACCAGGATGGAATTAGGAAGCAAGAGTCAGGGTCAGAGACCAGAGATCAGAAAGCAAAGTGAGGTCTGGAATCACAGCAAGCCAGAGGTCAGCATGGTTGCCCAGACAACTTCCTGGGGCACCCTCCAGGGGTAAATAGTGAGCATGAGCCAATCAAAAGGCTGCAGCGTGCTGTTACTCTGGACCCTTTAGATGGTACGTCCTGCAGCGCTTCTTCTCCATGGTGCTTCTTAGACGTGGTTCTATGTGGCCTCCCAGTGGCAACGTGGGAATGTCAGCTGCCCCAGACTCTGCAGACCCAGGCTCTAGTCCTGCAGATCCTTGCAGGGAGGAAGCACCAACAGTCACTCCAGTTCCATCCAATCCACGTCCTATCCAAACACCAACAAGCTGCAGATAGAGAGATCTCTTAAGCTACTCCAAGAACTCCACTGTCCCTGATCCACCAGCAGTCCAATATCTACTCCAGGCAACCCTCCTGGCTGCCTAGGAACTTCCACATCAGAACATCATCTTTCTTTCTTTAAGGAAGACCTCTTGAACAAATTCTCCAAGATACTAAGCACTAGGGTGACCAGACAGCAAGTGTGAAAAATCGAGATGTGGGTGGGGGGTAATAGGAGCCCATATAAAAAAAAGCCCCAAATATCAGGACTGTCCCTATAAAATCAGGATATCTGGTCACCCTACTAAGCACCAAAGAACCTATAAATATCTGGGATGTAGGTCTTGATACAGTTATTTCCCTTTGGTTGTAGCCAGTTGTGAGTATGATCACATTCTCCATTTATCTTTCAGTTAGTACTCTGTATAGTTTCTCAGAACACAAATGACACCTATAATTGTGATTTTAGTTACAGTTGCTAATCTTCCTTCCAGATTCTACAGCCAGAACAACTGGTAGTGTTGTGTTCTACATCCGTGGTGCTCTCTTTCAGGCATGAAAATTGATTGGTTGCATTTGCCTGCACTGAAATTCCATGCTAGCAGTGATGCATGCTATGGCAGAGAACCCAGAGGTCCACACTTTGCTATGAGAGCAGCACAGGCCCTCCTCACATGTTCATCTCCCCCTTTCACAATTCCAGACACATGGAAACCTCTAATACCTCTTCACCCAAACAATGGAAAGAAAAACAAAAACAACCCCCATTTTTGGACAAACTTCAAAAGTTTGCTCTAATGGGATACTAACTAGCAGTCTCCAACATCACCAGGCATGGGAAAGCAGCCTGTCCCCCATATAATGCAAGGGTAAGATGTTGTTCTGTATTAAAAGAAAGAAGCAAGTAGGTGTTACCAGTTACTGTTCTGCTCTCAGTCAGGGACTCAGTGAATGCACACACAATTCCATGCTTAACACAGGAGAACTGCCAGCATGCAACTTCTGCGGGGTGTAACCTGAGGACATTACTTTGAACACCCAACGGTCTGAGGTTAGCCAAGACCAGGCCGACCGGAAGGGGCGGAGGCGGTCGAGGAAAGAGTGAGAGGGTGGATCCTGGGAGGTGAGTGGGGCATCGTCCTCAAGTGCACCCTCAAAATGACTGCTTCTGGCCTCCTTGGCTTCTGAAAGGCTTGGGCTGAGCAGACGAACGGGAAGACGGGTGTCATCACTTAGACCCCTTGTCTCTATCCTTTCTCCTGTAAGTGCCCAGCCGAGGAGTCCCCCAGGACCTAGCCTGCGGAGGCAAAAGGTAGAACGGCTTCCTGGCCTGCTGTGGAATATGGATGCCCAAGCAGCAGAGGGTGGAACGGGAGTCTTTAAGGCCATAGAGTCTCGAGTCCGTGAGCTCGGAGAAGAGCCCCATCCCTTCAAATGGGAGGTCCAGTATAGTGACCTGCATCTCCTGGAGCACTGCAACCAGGAGCTCCGCTTCATGGCCACCGCGGAAGCAACCACCCTGCCACTGAGTCCCATTGCATTCCAGGCCATCTGAAGGGCTCCCCTTGCCACTCTTGTGCCTTCATCCACCAAAGCGGCGAATTCCTGGGCTCAATCCTGCAGGAGGGCCTCCTTGAATTTGTTAAGGGAGTCCCACAGCTTAAAATTGCACCTGCCTAACACGGCTTGGTGGTTAGACACCCGAAATTGCAGCCTTGCCGTTGAATAA